ATATATATATATGTATATCAAACTTTATTAATTTATTTAAAAAAAACAAATAAATTCAATATATAATTTGTAATTCCTCTAGATAGTCTAGTTTTATCCTCTCCATGAGCCCTGGCAGAGCTAATTTAATGTCCTCACTTTAAGTCAGCTGTAGCGACGCATGAGGTTCACAGTTTTCTCTTGCAGTTGCTGCTGTTCCTTTTGACCTCTATTTTGGCTCCTTTTTTWTTGAAACAACAGAACAGCAGGTTTGAATTCATCTCCTAGACGATTCATGCAGGCTATTGCAACATCACAATAAAGCAACAAAGCAGACATGCAAATAAACACAGATCACGTTTGTTTGACACTGCAACAGTCCAACAGCAAGATTCAACACCATTAAAAACAACGAGCAAAGAGACTTTTTGGAAGTCACGTCCAGGATTGTGATGTGAGGGTGCGTTTACGTGCAGTGGTGTATTTATTAGGGAGAATGTGTGCGAATCAAACAGCGATCACTACGGCCGTCACTAGGCAGAGCTCTCGTTTGGCAAAGGATGAGAAAACGAAAAAGAAAGGCCCGAGAGTCAGTTGTTCCGTTTGGTGACGGCCAATGGAAAGAAGCTTTAGGAGTCCAGCTGAAGCATGCTGGGTATACAGCACACACACAAAGCTGCTCATTACCCATCCTCTCACTTTATACAGAGAGCTGCAGTATTATGTCAAATGACATGAAATTATAACTCCCACTTCACTCACAACTGTCTATTACTGTTTGTGTCAGGTTTGTGTGGGAGGGTATATTTGCCACAACGCCTTTTGCAAACCTTTTTCGTGTGGTTTGAACATTTACTTGATGCGTCGCTGTGGGTTTCTCTGACCTCTCCCACCCCTCCAGAAAAGGACCCCCCCTCAGCAAACATGTATAAACCGCTCTTAAGTGTGTTCAAACTCAGCTGCTATGAGTTCAAAAAGTCCTCTAAAGCCAACACTAACAATATATCTTGACACGAGAGTGGAAAAACATCACAGTCCTCGTCACATCAGAAAAAAAGAGCTTAAAATAAAGCAGATGAGGTAATAACTTTGAATAGTACCTTATTTCCTGTAACTGTTTATTTTTTTCCTGAAGGAAGTTGCACCTAAAGCCACCCCTTCAATGGTTTTAGCAATGGTTTGGTGCGAAATGAACAATCTTCCTTCCTTTATTTCCTTAAATGACAAATACAACTTGTCTACAATGGGCTTAGTCAGTAGAAATGATCATTTTAAACCTCTGAATTGTCTTAAACTGTATATGGARGCAGTTTATTGACACAGGGTGGATGTATGACCATTGCGCTTTACATCCTGCCCCATTCAACAAAACGGCTTCATTTTTGGGATATTTCCCATAATGCATCATTACTGCACTACAATGCCCCTCTTTTTGGTCTGCAACAGCCTCCTCACTGTCCTCCCTGCCTTGCTTTCATCATTATCTCATTTCATGCCCATCGATCATTCTTTGTAGTGAATGATCTCATCTTGTAGCTATTTCTGCGTGTGTGTGTGTGTGTGTGTGTGTGTGTGTGTGTGTGTGTGTGTGT